TCTCTGTGTACTGATTACTCGTTCCTCCATCCCTCTCTGTGTACTGATTACTCATTCCTTCCATCCCTCTCTGTGTACTGATTACTCGTTCCTCCATCCCTCTCTGTGTACTGATTACTCATTCCTTCCATCCCTCTCTGTGTACTGATTACTCGTTCCTCCATCCCTCTCTGTGAACTCATTACTCATTCCTTCCATCCCTCTCTGTGTACTGATTACTCGTTCCTCCATCCCTCTCTGTGAACTCATTACTCATTCCTTCCATCCCTCTCTGTGTACTGATAACTTGTTCCTCCATCCCTCTCTGTGTACTGATAACTTGTTCCTCCATCCCTCTCTGTGTACTCATTACTCGTTCCTTCCATCTCTCTCTGTGTACTGGTTACCCCTTCCTTTCCTCTCTGTGTACTGATTATTCGTTCCTTCCATCCCTCTCTGTGTACTGATTATTCGTTCCTTACATCCCTCTCTGTACTGATTATTCGTTCCTTCCATCCCTCTCTGTACTGATTATTCGTTCCTCCATCCCTCTGTGTGAACTCATTACTCATTCCTTCCATCCCTCTCTGTGCTGATTACTCGTTCCTCCATCCCTCTCTGTGTACTCATTACTCGTTCCTTCCATCCCCCTCTGTGTACTCATTACTTGTTCCTTCCATCCCCCTCTGTGTACTCATGACGCCTTCTGTATCCATCCCTGGGTACTCATTCCTCATTCCTTCCATCTAGCTCTGTGTACTCATTCCTTCCATCTATCTCTGTGTACTCATTACTCATTCCTTCCATCCCCCTCTGTGAACTCATTACTCAGTCTTTACATCCCCCTTTGTGAACTCATTACTCAGTCTTTACATCCCCCTCTGTGTACTCATTACTCATTCCTTCCATCCCTCTGTATGTACTCATTACTATTTTTTTCCATCTATCTCTCTCTGTGTACTCATAACACCTTTCTTATCCATCCCTGGATACTCATTCCTCATTCCTTCCATCTATCTCTGTGTACTCATTCCTTCCATCTATCTCTGTGTACTCATTACTCATTCCTTCCATCCCCCTTTGTGAACTCATTACTCAGTCTTTACATCCCCCTCTGTGTACTCATTACTCAGTCTTTACATTCCTCTCTGTTTACTCATTACTCATTCTTTCCACCCCCCTCTGTGTCTTCCATCCCCCTCTGTGTACTCATTACTCAGTCTTTACATTCCTCTCTGTGTACTCATTACTCATTCTTCCCACCCCCCTCTGTGTACTCATTACTTGTTTCTTCCATCCCCCTCTGTGTACTCATTACTTGTTCCTTCCATTCCCCTCTGTGTACTCATTACTTGTTCCTTCCATCTCCCTCTGTGTACTCATTACTCATTCCTTTCATCCCTCTCTGTGTAGTCATTACTTGTTCCTTCCATCCCCCTCTGTGTACTCATTACTTGTGCCTTCCATCCCCCTCTGTGTACTCATTACTTGTTCCTTCCATCCCCCTCTGTGTACTCATTACTCATTCCTTCCATCCCTCTCTGTGTACTCATTACTCGTTCCTTCCACCCCCCTCTGTGTACTCATTACTCATTTCTTCCATCTATCTCTGTGTACTCATGATGCCTTTTGTCCATCCATCCCTCGGTACTCATTACTCATTCCTTCCATCTATCTCTGTGTACTCATGACGCCTTCTGTCCATCCATCCCCGGGTACTTATTACTCATTCCTTCTATCTACTGTATCTCTGTGTACTCATTACTTATACCTTCCATCCTTCCCTGGGTACTCATTACTCATTCCTTCCATCCCCCTCTGTGTACTCATTACTCGTTCCTCACCCTCTCTGTGTGCTGATTACTCGTTCCTTCCATCCCCCTCTGTGTACTCATGCCTTCCATCCATTTTTTCTGACATTACAGGTTTGGGGAAGACGATTGGCAATGTTTATGTGCTCATTGTAACGTCATAACCTCCATTTCTCAATAGTAAGCTGTGCTTCTTAAAGTGACCTTACGGCCAAACGGGCCAAAATTCAAGTGGCGTATGGCCCTGCTGGCGCCATCCAGGTTGACGAGTGGATTTTACAATTGACTTTTGTCAAAGAAGCCTGTGGAATATTGTCTACTGAACAGTGACTACAGATAATTAGCTGCGGTCACTGTTCGGGTATACTGACAGCTGCGGACACCGGCTATCAGAATACAATAGATGGCAGGTGGGTATTTCTCTGTACAGCCTGGAAGGAGGAATCACGTGGTTTCTTTTGTTCAGTCACGCGGGGAGAAATCAATGTACAGATATCTTTAGGTGTCACATTGTGATGACATCCTTATAATATACTAGTAGACATGTGGCCGTTTGACATTCTTTGTGCTGATAAATGCAATCCATTATTTGGCAAGGCAGAAAGGGGGAAAGCAGACAGTGGAAGGGTGTGAAATATACTACACAATCTTTTTACTATAGAGGAACCCTTGAATTCATTTCCAGGTTATAGCACACCGCTGCTAAACATATTACAGATACTGCTCACGGTATATTAAAGTGACACTACACTCAGGAGTTAAATCTTAAACATGCATTCAACATGTTTGTTAATAGTTAGGCCTAGTTCACACCAGCCACAGTGTGTTCTGATCCAAGTCTGTCCGGAACGCACTGGATCGCATTGCGGCCGGCTCACTTTGTTGCAGTGTGGGAGGGGGCGTGGCGGTGCATTAAAGTGAATGGCACCGCAGCCACGCCCTCCGGCAGCAATGCGATCGGCCACACGGGAATGCGTGGCACATCAATGCCTGCAATCCAGTCTGGTTCGGTCACAATAAATAGTGCTTGCAGCATTTTTTCTGACCGGACCACAGGCATTGATGTGCCTTGCGTTCCCGTGCGGCCAATCGCATTAAGGCCGGAGGGGGGTGGCTGCGGTGCCATTCACTTAAATGCACCGCCATGCCCCCTCCCAACAAAGTGGGCCGCTAATGCGATCCAGTGCGTTCCGTCCAGAATCGGGCCGGAACGCACTGTGGCTGGCGTAAACTAGCCCTAGCTATTAACAGAAATGTATCTTATCTGTGTATCACTCGGCTAGAGATCCTCAAATCATCTCTGAATTCATGCTGACACTGTCCTTCCTTCTGGCTTTTTGTTCCCAACTGTGGCTATCAGACATGAAGTGATAGGAAATCCCCCAAATTGGACACAAATGCAAAAAAAAAGACTGAGGGTATAACCCTCATTTACTCTATTCAAAAATCGATATATTTTAAATTACACAAACCACACCCTCGCCTGCAGACAGAATCTGGTGCAGTTGTATGGCGCAGTTGCATGGCATCCAATCAGCTTCTATCTTTCATTGTCAAACTTAAATGAACGAACCAAAGAGAGAAGCTGATTGGCTACTATGCACAACTGCTCCAGATTGTCTGCTCCAGTGTTGATAAATTCCCTGCATGCACTCTATAAAATGAAGTGCCGTATAAATACTGTAAATAAGATGAGTCTGTATTTGCGTAGCACTTGCGTCCCTGATCCATCTACACTGCACTATTGTAAGCTGTGGAACAGAGCTGTGTATAGAATTTGATCTCTCTTGATGCCTGCTGGGTGATATCACATCAATAAATAGTCCCATGTGTCACAGTGAGCCTGGTGATGAGTGAGGAGTGTTTCCCAATGTCCCCAGATCTGATATCACTAAATCATTTAGCTAAACTGATCTTGTTAGTGAGATTGTTCCGTCACATGTGTTTACAGGCGAACTGCAGACAAGTAAAACAGACTTCCTTTCTATTTAAAGTTTATGCAAATCCTAACAATGAACTTTTCTGCTCCTTTTTGATGTGTTAAATATATTGTACACGTTGTATACCATTCGGAGTGCTTTGCTATATCTGTTTGATAAGTGCAAACAATTACCTGTCGATCCTGCCAGTAATCCAGAGCTACCTTGTGTCCTGTGCTATTGTAGTTTAAATAGCAGTGTTACATGATTGCAGGTTTCTTTTTAGGAATATATTCCCGTAGCTATTTAGTAAACTAGAAGTCAGGGGACATCTATAATGTTGTCACCAGATCAGGAATAGAGAAGAAATCTTCCAACAGGGACACTTGTTTCAGGAAAACTGGATAAAAACGGAAAATTGGGCGTCTCTATTGAGGGGACGGCAGCACGGGGGAACTAACAGCAAACGCCCCTGCTGACGGCTGGGCTTCCAGCCGCCTCCCGCCTGGACCACATTAACCCATCGCTCCTCCCTTCTCCTGGCCGCCTACGGTAGGAACGCCCCTGATCGTAGTTACCATAATTTTCCTTTCCTGGTGCCTATCTTGCCAGCATACTAATGATAGATATGCTGCCATGGAGGCTCCAGGAAGAAGGCTTCCACCCCATTGGAGAGTTTTGCTCTTACATCCTGTTGGGCCTCTGATACAGGACGTGAAGGAAAATCTCCCCCAGGAGACACAGGCAGCAAACAAAAAAACTTGACGGGTTTTTACCGTTCTCTTTTTTAAAAACAAAAAGAAGTTTTGTCTTTAGCTATAATTAAAAGCAAACAGTTATCAGATCACAATAGTTTTTGTGAGAATGTTATAAATATACTACTGGGCTATATTTATAGAAGGTGACCCCTCTTTTGCTATATTTCATACAGAGTCCTGGAAATGGAGGACAAGAGGAAAAAACGAAGTCCCAAGGTGTGTGTAACCCAGACACTTCCACCTGCACCCTTGAGAAAACCTATTGCACCGCCGTGTAAGAGCGCCACGTTCAGCCTGGGACTCCCACTCCCACCTTCCCCAAAGCAGAGGAGTAAGGTCAAAAGGTAAGTGTCCTCATCTTTAAGCCGGCTAACAAATGTACGCATTTCGGTGGGTTCTTGATGACCCAGCAGAAATTAATTCAGTGGGTGGCCCTGTCAGCACCCTTCCGTCCGGCATCCCTCGATTAGAAAATCCTGCAGGTTGATAAAATATAAAAGTGTATGGCTAACTTTAGCCTAATAGATAATAGGAAAGATCGATCTACAAATGTTCTTAGGAATGCTTGTACACCTACAGGACCGTACTGTTAGCTTTTATTTGTAAATATAGTAAAATTCAACAAGATTTTCAAAATATAGAATTAACTTTAATTGCTATAATTTCTATTTTTCCACACTTTTAGGCATTCAAAAGTTTAGTGTGTTTTCTTTACTCCCCCATGTGGCTGTTAATTGTCTGACACCCAGCGCCATTCAACCACTTCCTACCAGCACAGGCTGTCATGGCCACACCTCCTAAACTCTTCTTGCTTACAGGAGGTGTGGACACTGCAATGCAGTAGCGTGGGCAAGCCTCATACAGCTGGGTGATGTGTGTGTGCTGTTCTTTACCTCTTAGGCTGGGTTCACACCTAGGCGTATCGAATATGCGCGTTTACGAGGGCTACCTGGCTGTATCCCAATGGATACGCGTGGCAAATACGCCCCATAGAAGCTCCTGTACTTCTTTAGGCGTAGGGCGTTTTGCAGTGCGTTCCTACGCGCTGTAAAATGCGCAGGTGGGAACCATGCCCATAGGCAATCATTGGTTTTCACATGTTGAGCGTTTTACAGAGCGTAGAAACACGCTGTAAAACGCCCAGGTGTGAACCAGGCCTTACTGGTCAGTGCTGGATAGGGGAGCAGAAGGACAGTGGTGGTCAAATGGCCGATGCTTTGCAAAGTTTTAAAAGAAAAAAAGGGGCGTAGGGCGTGGGAAGAAACCTGAACATCCATTGTTTGTGAATTGGGCTATAATATAGATCAGCGGTAGGCAAACTCGGCACTGCAGCATCTGCCTCTAGAGGTCATGCCTGTAGCATTCAGTCTTGCCATGTCTCATGGAACCTGTAGTTCTATAACAGCTGGAGTGCCAAGGTTGCCTACCCCTAATATAGATAAATTATTGTGCTAAACGTTTACATTCTTTTTTTGCTGCAATATAGGTGTAGCTAGGCATCTGGGGGAAGATAATATTATTATGAATATTTCTCTCTTGTTTGTACCGTTTTTAGGGGCATTAAAGAGCGCCATCGGCCCTCAGCACCGTGTGAAGTGGTGACTTCTGCGCCTAGCTTGCAACACTCTTTCCTGACGGATGTCTCCCATGTCTGTGAGATGGAGGGCGGCCTTCTGAGTCTTCTCAACGATTTTCACTCTGGAAAACTTCAGGCATTTGGTAAAAAAAGTGGAAGGAGTAAAGTTGTAGAATAATTTGAGGTTGTATTGAAGTAAATCACAATTTAATGCCGATATAAAGCTGAAAAGTGAGTTGTTTTTGTTTGTTTAGCTAGAGTTGAGAGTGCATAAAACCACCAGTCAGGTTGTTTTGCTTGGCTGTCTGTTTCAGTTCCTGTATCAGAGACATGTGTCAGGAAATCTCTACAAAGTGAGAAGAAATCCCAATTTAGACAATTGTCACTTGAACAGATGAACCCATTGTAAGATTTCCCCTCTATTCCTGGTGTGAGGACAATGAAACGGTAAAACATATTGTCCCACCATTTTCTGTCTGGGTGTCAATAGGTCAAGTAAGGGGGGAGGCATAGACAGCAATAATGACCTGACAAGAGTTTTCACATTCACATACTCTATCCAAAAGAAACAGAAATGTTGGCTGTAGATATATATTTTAAAGTGTAGCTGCACCTTTGTGCCCCCACCCCCAGTGCTCTGGTGCATATAAGACTGGCAAAAAAAGGAGGCTTCCAGGGGCCGGTGAACAGGGTTCCCCTCGCCTGACAACCCCACCGGTAAATAGGGTCCCCTCCTTGTGCCTGGCATCCCCGCCTTTCTTCCCAGGCTCCGCTGTCCCTGCTGCAGTCCTGCAACTGGCATCACAGGTGTCGGCGGGAAGAGAGACCAGTGAACATGTGCTTGCCTATCTCCTCCCTGCTAAAAAATTAAATTAGAAGAGAATTAATAAAAATCTGTATTAAAGAACCATTCCTTTCGTTAATTAATCTTCTTGGGGGACATACTTTTTTTTACAAACTCACTTAATCAAGGAAACTGAGTGGATGGGAGAAGGATGTGTTACAAGAATGGTCATGTAGGACATAGGTTTAAGAAGTTTTATGTAATGGTCAAAATGTCTAATTCTTCATTAAGTCCTGTTGGGGCAAGGGTGTTTAGTCTGTAGATCCATAACGTCTCTTGTCTACACAACCTCTGAAATCGCTCAGCTGGAGAAAAACGGATGGGAATGTGTTCTATGGCGAATACGTGTAAATCCTGAGTACATTTTTGTGACAAAGATACACATGCTTTAATGTATTTCATGATGCTGAAACATGAACAAATCATTATACAAAGACTATAAATATTGCAGGAAACTGCATACTGAAAGCCTTAGGGCCAGTTCACACCAATTGCAGTGCATTCCAGAGCAGTAGCTTCTGGAACGCACAGCAATTGCTCACTGAACTTCCCCCTTTGTTCTTGGGTGGGAGGTGGCGTGTGATGAAATGAAGTCAATGACACCGCAGCCACGCCCCCCACCCACAGTGTGATCGGACGTGTGGCAAAACATTGCCTGCGTTCCGGTTCAATGCAAACGCAAAAAAATAGAGCATGCAGCATTTTTTTGCGTTCGCAGGGGAACGGAATGCAGGTCATGTTTTGCCACACACCTGATCACACTGCGGGCCGGGGGCGTGGCTGCGGTGTCATTGACTTCAATGCACCCCCACGCCCCCTCCCACCCCAGAACAAAGGGGGAAGTTTAGTGAGCGATTGCTGTACGTTCCAGCAGCTACCATTCTGGAACGCGCCACAGTTGGTGTAAACAAGCCGTTATTCTTCTTAGCATCAAATGAAATCAAAACACGGTTGTGAAATGTAAATAATGAGTAAACAGGGAAAACTGTATATCATATAGCGGAAATGCCCACATTGTAGTCCTGTGTTTATTTTATGAATACATCCCAATATTTGTGGCACTTAAATGTATTTTTCTCTTGTTATTTGAAAATACAATGTGCATCCAGGGCCATTTTAATTGTGCTGCCCTCTATTACCACAGCTTTTTATGACTGCACGGTTCTACACATCTCCCATAAAATAGATAGCTGCAGGCAGCCTGTGATGTTATATTGATGTCCTATATTTTCCATTAAGACTTTCTCATAAAGTGAGGGTAGCCAATTCTCTTACTCTAAACTCCTGCTGCCCTAGTCCCCAGGCTGTGTGGCCTTATGACAAATGACATTATGCATCCTAATTTCTTGGATCAGACCTGTCACACTGTGTTACCAATGCACTCTGAACATATTTTTCATACTCACTCGTTTTGCCATAGGGCGGGTATGTACGTTTCAACAACTGGAACGCGTGAGAGAGATGCAAGAACAGTTAGCTCGCCTTCACTTCAGTCTAGATGTATGTGCAGAAGAGCAAAAAGAAGAGACCCATGCGGAGAGGAACCTGGAGCAGCTACTAAATAATGTAAGATATCATATATTCTTACACCTCTAGTCTTCAAAGCAGCACAGCTTACATTTGATTGTGAAGGATAAACATTGCCTTGGGCTTTTTGCAGCAGTTTTATAGTCTGGTCGTTGATATATATAAGAATAGAAATTCAGAATAATCAGGTACAAATAGTGTTTAAAGAATTTACATTCATGTTAGTATACACATAGGGTAGGGGTAAGCAACCTTGGCACTCCAGCTGTTGTGGAACTACAAGTCCCATTAGATATTGCAAGACTCTGATAGCCACAGGCATGACCCCCAGAGGCATGGTGGGATTTGGAGTTTCAGCACAGCTGGAATGCTGAGGTTGCCTATCTCTGACATAGGGTTAGGTGTGTGTATAGCAGGTGGGATACAGTATTACAAACTGATTATGGGCTATTAGGTGGTTGTCACTGAGGATCTTTTTATTAAGACACAAATGCACATTTTTCCATTTCCTCTTACATTCTCTATAATTGGATCTGCCAATAAGCTGTTATTGAGTGTGTTGGTGGATCATGTGGACACACTGCAAGATTGTTACACAAGACACTGCTCTGTGTTGGTGAGTGGCTAAATCCTAGGTCCAGTAACACTAAACTAGCACACGTCATTGTGATAGGAATGTGGAGTGTCCTTACCTTTCAGTTCCCAGCTTTCCCAGAATTGCTGTGATCAGCAGTAGTCAGGAACTTTGCAGTCTTCAGACCATCCTGTTATATTACTTCCATGCTAGAATTTATAGCTGAATTCTAGGCAAACAGCTCAATACACAAATGACATACATAGTGGAGGGCATTTATCAAAACTGGAGCAGACAAAATCTGGAGCAGATTTGCACTGCAACCAATCAGCTGAAGAGAGATGCTGATTGGTTGCCATGGGCAACTGCTCCAGATTCTGTCTGCTCCAGTTCTGATAAATTCCCCCCACTGTACATGGTAGCTGTTTTACGTGCCAAAGGATTTGTATTTCGGTTCACCCAGCCCTGCAATTTACACAGCTCTGCCACACAACACAGTCGTGTCTGGCAGTGCAGAAACCTGATTTTTCTTTGTTGCAGTAAAGTACTACTTACAAGTCTTGTCCCTCCCCCAGCTTGTGACTGGTCTGTGAAAGGAGAAGCAGCAGACTGATTATATCTTTGTCACTCTACTTTTTCCTCAAGTCAGCATGTTTGTGTTCACTGCAGCACAACTGATTGGCTTATTGCGCTGCTTTTCTCTCATCCAGCCTGAGCTCTGCTGTACGTGGGCTGCAAGAGTCAGATTGAGATATTTGGCTGCCATGAGAACTCAGGACATTGCATGCTTCCAAGAGGCAGTTGGAACCCAAAGAGCTGGACACTTACACTATGTAGATTAAATCATGCGTGTCCTTTGTAAGAGGGATGAAGAGCAAGCCACTTCCTTTTTTTTGGACTGCCATCTAAAGTCCTGCCAAGTACTACTTCCTGAGAGTAACCCAATGGTACACATTTTACACTTTGCCAAATGTATCCTACAGCATATAAAGATTGCACGTTACTGCTATCAATGAAAGACAAATGAATAGAATGTTTCAGGTAATAGAGTTAGTTATAAACAAGTGACTTGGTAGTAACCACCAGACATGAATAAAGTTACCCAGTAAAGAGTACCTGAAGTATGGTTTTATATCAACAAAGCCACATCCATAGGCTTGCAGCAGCTTTAGCTTGTAAAGATGTCCCACCATCACCAGTCTATAACTACGGATCGCACTCCGGATACATCAGTATGCTACCGTATGTACGATATATGCAGCTAATATATTTCCTTCATTTTGTGTCTTTCAGCTGGAGGAATTGAGTAATTCAATGTATCCTTCTTAAGTCATTTCAAATGCTGATGAAATCTCTTACAATGGATGATGCGCCTTGATGGTTAAAAGTTTTCATGTCCTGCAGAATAAGCTGATCCCCTGATTGATATAGACATAAACAGAACGGATATTTCTCCAGGTTGGTCCACGCTTGCCCACGCAGTTACTAGGTGCATTTCCAGCTGGTTATTGAGAATGCATTCCTTATAGTGACACTAAACTGAGGAGTTAAATCTAAAAAATACTTTAAAGTACCTTAACTGTTAGCAAAAATGTATCTTATTTGGGTATCACTCGGCTGTAGATCCTCAAATCATCTCTGAATTCATGCTGACACTGTCCTTCCTTCTGGAGGGTGGCTACTTTTATTCCCCATGGTCCCTGTGTGTGTTGTAAAGTAGCCACTGCTCCAAGCTTGCTCCCGTGATGGACTACAATCTCAGTACAAACTAGTAAACTAAATATAAGATTGTAGTCCATCACGGGAGTGAGCTTGGAGTGGTGTCTACTTTACAACACACACACAGGGACCATAGGGAATAAAAGTAGCCACTCTGCAGAAGTAAGGACAGTGTCAGCACCAATTCAGACACTGACGCTTTACAGTTGAGTGATACATTTTGTTAATAATTAGGGTACTTGAATGCATTTTTAAGATTTAACTCCTGAGTTTAGTGTCACTTTAACATAGGTGGATGATGGCACTCCAGCTTAAAGCTTTACATTCTTTATGAACTGTATCCCATAAGGCAAAATACAACAGCAAGATGAGACGATTATGCGTTTCATGCTTAGAAGCACTTAATCATGTTATCTTATCTTATGGTCTCTTCAAACTGTTGTACTTTGCCTTATAGATGACATTTAATAAAGAAGTTGACATTTGAAGCTGGAGTGCTGTCATCCACACGTTTTAAGGAATGAAGCAGATTGATGCTGTAAAGCAAAAAACTTTTTTGTTTTGTTTTGGATACAAAGTAAGAGGGTTAGAGAACCTTTGTCAGTTTTTTATTGCTAAAGCAGAAATAGCCAGGAAGGCCTTGACAGGGCAGCGTGGCTTCCACATTTTTATGCCATTGCTACCTCTGCTTTCATACATAGGAGGGAATTTAGCAAAACTGGAGCAGACAGAATCTAGAGCAGCTGCCCATAGTAACAAATCAGCTTCTATCTTCAGTTTTCTCTGTTAAGCTTTGAAAATGAAAGATAGAAGCTGATTGGTTGCCATGGGCAACTGCTCCAGATTCTGTCTGCTCCAGGTCTAATAAATTCCCCTCATTCTGTTTAAGAAGTGCTGGCTATTTCTGCATTAGATTTATGCGGTGCCACCGTTGGCTGCACATTCTACTACACTGACTTTGGGCAATAGCGTGGGACAGAATGTTAAATGCTAGGCTTTTATTGTTTGTGTCCATGTTGGGAAGATCCATCTCACTATTGGTTCTGGTGACATTTTGTAAGTTGTCACAGAAACAGGAGGTGAGGGGAAATCTTCCAATGGGGAAACCTGTTCTAGTGACAACTGTCTAAGATGTGACATCTCCTGTCGCATCCTGCTGTGTCCATTCCCCGCTCGATCCTACACACACATTTCAGGTAACCTAAAATACACTCAAGGCCCATTCATACCTATGTACGTGTTAGGTGATAATGTACACACACAGGTGTGAATTGGCCCATATAGTCTGCCTCTGGGTGAAGTTGTGTCAACAATAGACTGTAGCGTTCAGGCTGTGAGCTGTGTTGTGCACTTTGACTCTAAGCAGCTTTCTTCAGAAGTGTTGGATAGTTAATGACAATGCTGATTTTTCAGTGTAAGCAGCTCAGTAACGGCAGAATAGATTTCAAAATTAACAGATATTTCCTAAATTACAACATGGTGATGGATCAAATGTGACATATGTGCTTTTAAAGTAACACAGCGCCACCTGCTGTCAACATTGCATAAAGCCTGTGCAAAGAATGTACAGTATTTTACACATTGAAATTGACTGGTTGCAGTACACATTTTTTTTCTTCAATTCAATAGATTTTTATTAAGGTTTTATGATTTAACAATCTGAAAGGACCATAGAAAATGACAATCTCGAAAAAATCGAGACACAAAAAAAACCCGACAAAGTAGCAAATACAACAACGAACTAATAGAGATAGTAAAAAAAAAAATGTAAGAGAACATCAGTATTAAAGGGAAGGGGTACATGGGAAAGGCCAGATGATTGAAGCAAATAACAAAGGGAGATACAATACCACAAATGATGGAGTCAAAAGTGTGTATGCTCCAAGTACAGTATAGCTATGTTTGTTTTAGGGTAGAGTCTAGGTCACATATAATAACCCTGAGCAAAACAATCAACAGAGAGAGAGAAAAGTGAGAAGTAGGAGCAAATAGGAAGAGGATAAAGAAGACAGAGTATAGGATAAATAAGAATCCAGTTCCACCACCGGTCTAGGGTCCAATCTTACTCTGACTAGGATGTTGCCAACAGTAAAGGCCGTGACCCACTGCACGCTAAGCAGCGCGGAGCGGGGGCGCGCTGCCTTTGCGAGCAGTGTGTCATGTAATTTTCTGCTCGGCACCTCAGCTTGCGAGAGCTCGCGGAGCTGAGCGTGCCGAGATGAACAATTTCAACTTCAGCCAATCGGCTCGCGCGTATAAACCAGCGCGTCGCGATGCGACAGCTGGTAGGTTGTTACGGACGAGCCGATTGGCTGAAGGTGCTGTCAATCATCTGACTGCACTCAGCTCACACACTGCACGCAAAGCTCCGTGCCGGATAGCTTTGCTTCGCTCTGCACGGCTTTGCGTGCAGTGTGTCACGGCCTTCAGAGCTCTGTAAGGCGTGTATCAAAGGTATGAGACTGCAAATATGTCAGCCATGGTTCCCAGGTGCGTTCAAAGCGAGGGAGTTTGTCTCCAAACCTCCGCTCAATGCACATTTTTATAGCCTAAAACATATGTCAAGGCAAAAAAAAAGGTAATAATAACAAAAAACAATATGCAGTAGATCCCTGCAATACATGCACATTTTCCATTGTTTTATCCCTATAAAGACCTTGCAAGTACAGAAAAATACCTTTTGATCTGCCAGCTTAGCTCATAATGGTATTAATTGATGTTTCTAATGTGTATTCTAACAATTTCAAAATCACAGCATTTTACACCTGACATGTCTATGTTATTATTAATCATCATACATAGAGGGATGCATTGGTAGAATTAGATTTTTGAGTGTAAAGGTCCGCTTTAAAGGGCCAGTCATAGCAAAGTGATAGAGGAAATATCAGTCCTAGGTGGACTGACCCTGTAACACATCTTTGTAACGTTAAACATCTCTTTAGGACCCATTTCCACTCTGTTTTGATAGTAAATTTGCATAAAGCCAGACGGCACAGAGAATGCTTGGTAAACTCTCTAACATTATTTTCAACAGTACAGAGTTCTTCGACATGTTCTTTGCGTGTTTCCGTTTTGCTGTGCACAAAAATTTAAATGGGAATTGTACCACTACATTTTCATCCCAGAGCTCTGGTTATAGGGCAAAGACGTAGCGTTTAAATGCATGCAAATGGCTTTGTAAAAGCACAAGCCTTCAAAACGACAAGGAACCATGTGTAAAATACATGAGTGGAAATGGGCCCCTGGCATAGTTTTAATTATGCAGCAGTTTCCTTAACAACTGGCTAAGACAAAAGCTACATTTGGCAGAAAACCAGGATACACCTCCTTCTCCTATTGAAGAGGGGACAGACAGCTTACAGTAGAGGCTGGTGGAATAAAGCACATGCGGAGGCGCAGATTTGAGGACTGCAGCTCGCCAACGAAGAGTCGAAAGCTAAAGAAGGAACTAGTAGTGTAGGTTTAGTGATACAGGAAAGCAGCCATGGATCTGAACCGGAAAGGATCTGCTGTGCAGCTAGTTACAATGTCTGCTATGAGCACAGATAGTCAGTGCTAGGTAAGCTTCTTAACAGCGTTGTGTGGTCAGCTATAATGCTATGAAAATCCCTACAATTTTCTGATTACAAATGTCAACTCAGGTAAGAGACTGAAAACATGGAATGTTGTAAACCAGATTTAAAATGCGCATGTATTTATTCGTTTATATTAAAAACTTTACTGTATAAAAGTTCAGTGTGTTATATATTATGTAAAGGACATCTATACCAGGGCCAGGCAACCTTGGCACTCTAGCTGCATTGGAACTACTGTACAAGTCCCACGAGGAATTACAAGACTCTTGACAGCCATTGGCATGACTCCCAGAGACAGGTGTAAGGGGATTTGTAGTTTCAACACAGCTGGAGCGTCGAGGTTACCTAGCCTTAATCTATACTAAGGGAGAAATGAAGGTGGCAATTGCTGACCTCTCCATCTTGAAATACTAGATATCATGCTGATTGGGTTGCTTTTACCATGTGATGGTACAAGGATCAGTGAAACCAACTCCATATCACAGCCTGTAGGCTCATACACCCTCCCCCATGTAGAGGGCATGTGGCCTGGTATGGTGCAGGAGGGGTGCGATTGCCCCCACTTTCCTGCTCTGCCAGGCTGGTGCTCGATTTAAAGGAGAACTATGAGGTGAGTGCTTTTCACTCACCTCATAGTTCTAGCCGACCTGTGACAATGAGAATGTCACAGGTCGGCTCAGTAGATAGGGAGGTAAGCGAACACATACCGGCGTTCGCTCACTTCCCGATCCTGTCACGGCTCTCTGCTGTGACAGGGGAGGGGCTGGATTCCCCCCTCCCCGCTCCGATCCTCCAGCGCTGACTGGCGGAACGGATGGGTGAGGGGGCGGGTACAGCTGGCTCTGCCTTTAGATAGGCAGAGCCAGCTGTCACTCACACAGCTGGGCGGAACCCAACATAATTGTCGGGATCCGCTTCAGCTGCGGCGTCTCAGTATACCGCGAGCTATAGCTCGCGGTATACTGAGCTTAGGGTGATGGGAGGACGCTAGTTTGTGTCCTCCCGTTACCCTAAGGAGAACTATGGGGAAAAGCCCTAACCCCATAGTTCTCATTTAAGGGTCTGGTAAGGGATTTTTAGGGGGAACCCCACGCTGTTTGTTTGTTTTTTCACATTTAACCTCTTGCCGTCCGTCCGTTGTAAAAAAACGGACGGACGGCACTGCTGCATCGGCGGGTTGCCGTCGCCAGACGGCATTTTTTTTCTGCTCGCGCGCGCCCCCTAGCGGGCACGCACGGGCAGAAAAGACCCGGCCATTGCACACACCCGTTACCGGGTGTTTCACATATAGGCGATCAGCGGCTCCATAGCCAGCCGATCGTCTATATGTGCTCGTTCGCGTCCTAGAGACCCCTAATGTCTCCATAAAGAGGACCTGTCAGTGCGCCTTTGCTATTATATAAGGGGGATTGTTATCCCCCTATATAATAGCAATAACAATAAGTGCAAAAAAATAAATATAAATAAAAAAAAATAAAAGTAACACATAAAAAAGTAAAATAAAATAAAAGTCACATATAAAAAAAGGGGAAAAAACCCCCCAAAATTGTTTAACTCCCCCACCCCCACGTTTACGCGCCTATAAACGTAAATACGCGTCCGGTGCCCCAGCGCGCAAAAATTACAATTGCGCTACACATGTTACATATCGCCGCGAACGTCGCAGTGAGAGCAATCATTTTAGGGCCATCAATCACTGATAACACTAAACTGATGAGCGGTAACAGCTTTTAAAGCGTCGCCTATGGCCAATTTTGGGTATTATCGTTTTTTGAGGTTTCGCGCGCGCACGCAATTTTAAGGCTTGACATGTTTAGTGTCTTTTTACCCGACGTGACCCCATCTTTTATATTTTACCAAAAAATTGGGTAATAATAAATGTTTTATCATTTAATATAGGGGAAACTGTTTTTTTTTTTAAATTTCGGTAATTTTTCCTTAATATAGTAAAAAAATAAAACCCCCAGTGGTGAATAAATACCACCAAAAGAAAGCTCTATCTGTCCCCAAAAAAGGGTATAAAATTCATTTCAGTACAGCGCTGCATGACGGAATAAATGTCAGTCAAAGTACCGCAGCGCTGAATACTGAAAAATGGCCTGGATGGGAAGGGGGTTTAACACCGCGGATGTCAACTGGTTAAAAACAACCTAAATCCATCCAAATAAATCTGAATAGATCCCAATTCCGAAAACGGAAACTTCGGATAGATCCGAACTTCAGTCTGCACAAGTCTATTGTTTAGTAAACACATAAGCACATTGTTTTTGGGCGTTGCAGTTGATGGATTTTCAGCAGGTCCTCAAAACATACCTGCCTCATCCTTTGTCAATGCACTTCAAGGTGACACATACAGTCTATGTCCTTTACTATTTCACTAATTTATGGCGGGAGCTGAAACTTCGAGTTGTCAAGCAACAGCCAAGAAACCTTAAGGATTTAGAGAAGATCTGTAAAGAAGAGAGGAGCAAAATCCCTCCTGAGATTTGTGCAAACCTGATAACCAACTGACACTACACCCCCCCAACATTTAAAAGAGAAAAGAGGTACAGCTTGTCCAGTGCTGACACCCCCACCCCATTATAAAACTGTAGGCATAGCATGCAAGCAAAAAAATAAGAAAAAAAGAATGAAGAATGAGTTAATAAGAACTTTTTGCTGCCCCTGTCCTCCAATGGGGACACAGTCAGCAATACAAATGTCAGGAAGTTATTGATGTGCCCCCATGAGGAAGACTTCCCCTCACTTCTTGTCCAGTGAACAAATGTCAGACAGAACAGGAGGAGAAGTGAAAGTTCCTCTATGGGCACACAGCCATCATTAGAATCTCCTGAACAGGAACACAGTACTGGAATTCTTCCTGGAACTGACCTGGCAATGCTGCAATGGTTATTACACAGGGACTATGCAACAAAGATCATTTTTTTTCCTAAGCCCGTGGAGCGTGCTTTGCAAACGAATCCTCCCTGTGAACAAAAAAAGTGAATCGTGAAATCACAACACACAAAAACGTGCACAAGGGTGCTTGGCCTCCTGACAGGGGTTGAGACTGCTATGGTCCACCAACCCAAAGGATGGCGGACCCCGATCCATTGGGGACCTGCTGGAACAGGTCCCTCACAGTACTAGGTAGGGGGCTCTCCCGAAGAGAAACCCCCTGGGTGGGAGGAGACAGAGAACCCTATATGAGGGCACAGAATCTCCTCCCCAACGTCGGGAAAAGGCCCGAAGGAACCTGCACCCTCAGTCATCTGTGGGTCAAATTTAAAAATAAAAAGTGCCAATCGTGCATGTAGTGCAATAAATACATCTAAAGTGCCAGTGCACCACGCTGACAGGCCTTAGGGGCAGTGCAAAAATATTGCCCCGGACTAGCCATAAGGCTTGTCCAAGAGGCGTTGTGCAGAGAAATGCAATAGTGCCGTGTCCATGTGCATAGTGAATCACTTGTGGGTTCCCGCGCCCTAGTGATTTTCTGAGCACCCCTGAGACGCCACCCCCAGGGGGCACAGCACCACGGGCTCTGCCGCCCCCCAACTCTCCAGCCAGACCAAGCGATTCTCTGCTCACATCAGAAGGTAGTGCCTTCAGGGGCCCTCCCACTGTCTGGGGTCTACACGTACCTCGGTCCTGACGCTACCAGCAGTGGACCGAACCCCATCCGACACCATCTTTACGTCAGAGGGTACTAGGACACATCCACCACTCAGAGACGGCAGCATCCTTTCCCCACTTGATCTTAGCCAAAAGGCCGAGAAGCCATAACAAACAAATATCATTTTAACATCTGCTGTACATGACTTCTTCCAGCAGCTATAGCAGGCACCTAACTTTCCAGTACACTAACATAGCTCCCAGTGTTCTAAGACAGGTAAGAGAGACACCTTTCCACAAAACTATTTTAGCAATGGAGGCACCCCTGCCACACCCACAACATGAGGACCATGATGTGTTCATTTGATGCTCACGTAACAGCATTAAGTACTGTATATACATACTGTACTGTATATTACAGTTGTAGTTTAATCTGCTTACTCTTTGCCTTCCCTGGTTCCTCCTCCACCCCCCCTCATCAAAATGTTTTCTATTTTAATTACATACCTTATTTTAGACTTGTGACATCATCACTGAGTCTCTGTACTTCTCTATGCACCAGTCAGATCATGGCTAGTGGGAGGGTCTGGTAGGGTGCTGTACATAGATTCCTGAAAATATCACAGCCCTCTGCCTCAGTACTCATCTCAAGGGCCCTCAACCCTGATACAGGCCGTGGGCTGGCTCTAGGGGGGAGTTCTACAAATACCAAAATTCTTTGATGGGTGGATGTCAGTTTACAGTAGTGGGCATTTCTAGGCAGGCTGAATTTTCATGTAGACTGACTTTGGTAACACCTGCATGTGATACTGAATGTCAATGATTGAAATGAAATCCAGTTAAAGGGTTTCTAAACCCTTACGTTTTTTAGCATATGTCTCTGTCTAGCAAACAGTAGATATATGCAAAACGTAAAAAAAAAACGCTTTAACAGACGTTAATACTCACCTGTGTCTTCCCCGTGCGCTCCCGTATGAAAAAGTGAAGATCCTCGGGCGGGCGCATGCGCAGTTCGGATTTTCGGCCGGGAGACGAGGAGAGACACAAGGTAAGTATATGGACACGTGCACCCTCATGTAGACACCGTGGGACAGGAAGTGCCAGCAAGGACAGAGGAGTCAGTGCTGGATCGGAGAGCCGCCGCACCGCTGGAGGGACAGATGAAAACATCAGGAAAGAAGAAGATTAGAGTAAGAAACATCATTTAAGGTAAGTGCTAACATTAACATGGGGGGAGGGGAAACATTTTTTTGACTTTAAAGGAGAACTATGAGGTGAGTGCTTTTCACTCACCTCATAGTTCTAGCCAACCTGTGACAATGAGACTGTCACAGGTCGGCTCAGTAGATCGGGAGGTGAGCGAACCCATACCGGGTTCGCTCGCCTCTTGATCCTGTCACGGCTCTCTGCCGTGACAGGGGGGGGGGCTGGATTCCCCTCTCCCCGCTCCGATCCTCCAGCGCTGACTGGCGGAACGGACGGGGGAGGGGACGGGTACAGCTGGCTCTGCCTCTAGATAGGCAGAGCCAGCTGTCACTCACGCAGCTGGGTGGATCCTGACATAATTGTCGGGATCCGCTTCAGCTGCGGCGTCTCAGTATACCGCGAGCTGTGGCTCGCGGTATACTGAGCTTAGGGTAACGGGAGGACGCTAGTTTGTGTCCTCCCGTTACCCTGAGGAGAACTATGGGGAAAAACACTGACCCCATAGTTCTCCTTTTAATGTCACTTTAAGGAAAGGGGCAGTCCAGAGACAATAAGGCTAGGAAGGAAAGTGCTAGATGATTCTGGAAGTCTTCCAACCTTTAAATGAGGATGGCTCTATCTGACGCACGCATTACAGGAGTCTGTGCAATTGTACAAGACTAAAGGTAAGGCTGGAGTTCAACTTTAAATAACATCATATAATCTAAAACTGGTGACCAGCTTGAATATTCTTATTGCGTGTAAAAGAAAATCCACATGAATGCACACAGGTTTGCAGATTTGATTTAGAAATGTTGTATAAATCATAAACAATTTTAATATAGTCTATGGAACTATAGCTACGTGAAAAACAAAAAAGTGTTGTGCCAACTGAGACGCTGGAAGTCCAAGGATAGCTGCTAAAAGTAAAAAATCAATCAGTCACTTACATAAGAACTAGGAATGCACTGATACCCATACTAGTATTGGTATTGGTGCCGATACCGAGTATTTGGGAGAGCACTCGGCCAAATGCTTCGATGCCTAGCCCAATACTGGAACTTTTGTTAACAGGAAGACGGCAGCCAGTCGTTACATGCTGCCCGGCTTCCTGATTGGCTGGAAAGCCAGCTCCATGCTCCCTCGTCACCAGGTAATGAGGGAGCATGAAGCCAGCTTCCCAGCCAATCCAGGTAATTACTTGACCCGTGGCTTCCTGATTGGCCAGGAAGCCGGCTTCATGCTCCCTCATTACCTGGTGATGAGGGAGCATGAAGCTGGCTTCCCGGCCAATCAGGAAGCTGGGCAGTGTGTAATGACTCAATTGTACTAGATTGTAAGCTCTCATGAGCAGGGCCCTCCTACCGCCTGTACTGAAATTGTATTGTTATTTGTACTGTCTCTCCCAATTTGGTAAAGCCCTGCGCAAAATGTTGGCGCTATATAAATCCTGTATAATAATAGTCAGAAAGCCCGATGGCGAGTCATTTACCCGCCCCTTGGCCTCCTGATTGGCCAGAAAGCTGGCTCAATGCTTCCTCCTCACCTGGTGACGAGGGAGCATGGACATGGCTTCCTGGCGAGTCGGGAAGCCAGGTGGTGAGTCATTACACGCCGCCCACCTTCCTTAGTAGGACTTTCGGTATCGGTATTTGGTATCGGCCAGTACGTGAAAACATATATTGGTACTCGATAACGAAAAACCAGTATCAGTGCATCCCTACTAAGAACATATAAACTCATAAACTAACAGAACCATAAAACATACTAGCTCAGGGGCAAGCAACCTCCAGTTGTTGGGGAACTAAAAGTCCCATGAGACATTGCAAGACTGACAGTCACAGATATGACTCCCAGGGGCAAAGACATGACAGGATTTGTAGTTTTACCATAGCTGGAGTGCTAAGGTTGCCTACCCCCATACTAGCTGATAATGTTTGGGTACACAGAAGTATGGCACTTTATTCACTTTATCATCTGCACCTGCACTGAACAATGATTTGGTGAGTTCCCGAACCCAGCTGTTGTTGGTGGCAAGTAACAAGAAGGAAAAACAAACAACAAACCTTAACTGGTCTATACTGAATACCCCATAGTAAGATGGTTAGTACCAGCACCCCCTCACTACATAGCTGCAAACCTGGCCAAACTTACACTTGTATGCACATGCCTTCTGTTCCTGTTTCCTTAGACTTTACTAATTATCATTATTTATGATGTACGGTATAGAACGCCAAACGTTTGGACAGTACTTTACAATATAAAGGAAGACAGAACAGTCATTACAAGTAAGTTAACAGGGCCCCGCATGTGAGGCCTTACAATCTTAAAGGGAAGGGTAAGTGATACAGAAGGTGGTCGCTGTGTGAGGTGATGGAGAATGTTCATTAGTTAAGATGAATTTTCAGGGATCACCTGAAGGCAAACAGAGGAGATAGCTGCTTGGGTTGGGGTAGGGAGTTCCCGAGGATCACAGAGACTAATTGTTTCCTCATGTCCATTAACAATGCTGTATTTAACCGCTGTGTGGGGTTTATACATGTAATGATAAGATTTATTTTTTATATTTCACATGGCTTTGTTTACAATCTTCTTCACATTATAGAGGAACTCTGAGATTTTGCAATGCTGACACTCTACCAACCCCCCAACCAGCATCCCACCGCCATTTTATTCATCTACCATTACCCTGGACCCCAAGTAACTTTGTACTACTGACACTGCTCCCAGCACCCCCCAAGTAACCTCATACTACTGACACTGCACCCAGGCACCCCCCAAGTAACCTCATACTACTGACACTGCACCCAGCACACCCCAAGTAACCTTGTACTACTGACACTGCACCCACCAAGTAACCTCATACTACTGACACTGCACCCCCCAAGTAACCTCATACTACTGACACTGCACCCAGCTATCATCTAACCCCCATTACCCTGCAATATTGACACTGCATGCACTGACACCCGGGTCTCACCCAGCACCCGCAAACACTGAAACTGCAGCCCCTGCCATCTAATTTCCTCACCCCAATGTCTCTGTGGAATACTGACACCCTCAGGAAGGTGTCTCCCCTAACAGAGCAACCCCTTTCACCCTGCAATGCTGTCAATGCACCCCATTCCCTCTACATATGAACCCCATAGCAGTGGCACTGCACCCCCAGTCATCCAACCTCTTTCACTCTATAACACAGTCAACCTCCGTCACTCATCTCCCCTCACTGACCCCTGCGTCATCCACCTATTCATCTCTCAGACTGACATCAGCCCACTTCCACAGAGCTTCCTAACTGGATAATGATGACTACTATCCCCAGGCTGTCAGCTCGCTCAGTGTATGACACGCCCACTTCCAGTCCTCCGCTGACATCACTTCCGGGTCCATGTAGTGGGCGGGGACTAGAGATTACCGTTTGAATGATGGAGGAATTGGAATGTGCAGCCATAGTTTTACAGGTGAGTGTTCCGTATACAGAGAGCGGTGCTCGGTCGGGGTGTGATGGTCTCTACAGCTGTCGTTGTGCTTTGTGTTTTAGGCTCATGTCCGCGGTGTGCTGGTCCGCCGGAGACTCCGGACCGTTCTACGGGACTATGAGGCTGTGGTGAGGGACGTAGAGGGAGACGCCATCACTGTACACTGGGGGACAAGGCTCCTTTCTTCTCCTGTATTCCAACCTGTGGTGAGTATAGTAATGTGTGACTTAACCGAGCCACGGACTTCCTGTGTATGTGTGACCTCCTATCTTCCCTTCCTAGGGTCACTACAGAGATCCAACTGGTCTTGGTAGAAGAACTGGACATGGCAGGTTCACCAAAAACACAGACTCCATCATATCAGGGAGTGACAGAGCGAAATGTGTGCAAGCCTCAGCACATGAACTGTGTATGCCTGCAAGTGTCACCCGAGAAAAGGAGCATTGTGACCTGCCAGGAGATGCCCACAACAATGAGCACCTGTCAGAGAGTGGCCCAGTGAAAGAGAACCAGCTTCAGGATGTGCCCACAAGAGATTGCCAAGTGTCAGAGACTGATGGCACAGAGATAGACCACCTTCTATCAGAGACTGATACCCAGCTACAGACTGAGAGCCCAGACAGGGGAAGGATCCTTCCAGTGTCAGAAAAGGAGCGCCGCTCATGGCTAGCAACACAAGAACAGAACTTCCTCCACCATTCCAGTATAATTCAGAACACAGACCAAAGGTGTGAGAGTTTAGAGTGGACAAGAAGCAGCTCTGTGTGGAGTGACAAATCCATGGACACAGGTGAGACAGAAATCGGTGAACCATGGGAAACTGTGTGTGTGTATATATTAGGGATGCACCCATACTAGTATCGGTGCCAATGCCGAGTATTTGGGCAAGTACTCGTACTCGCCCAAATGCTCCGATGCCTAGCCCCATACTTCCGGTATCAGGATGCCGTGCAGCATGTAATGACACGCTTCGCGTCTTCCTGATTGGCCGGGAAGCTGGCTCCAAGCATGTAGCCGGCTTCCCGGCCAATCGGGAAGCCGGGCGCCGTGCCATTACACAGTGCCAAGCTTCCTGATTGGCCAGAAAGCCGGCTCCATGCTTTCTCGTCACCTTGTCTAAACGCTAATCCGGAAGCTGGGTGACAAGTCTTTACACGCTGCCCAACTAATCAGGTGGCGAGTCATTGCGCGCCACCTGGCTTCCTTAATGGGACTTCCGGTATTCATTATCGGCGAGTACCGGAAAAAAAATCTTGGTACTCGATACTGAAATACCGGTATCGGCACATCCCTAATAAAAATAAATATATAATTAGATCTTATGGAAACAGCCAGAAAGGGTTGTACAGCGCAGCGATCAGGCATATTTCTCTTGCTGGAAGTGAAAGGTGCCCTGTACAGCAGCGTATAGCCAGCGTGTACAAATCATAGACTGCCCGGCTGAATCTGTGACTGTACAGGGATATAGGCAAATCCTGTTGTTACCATGTGTACTTGGACTTACACACTGCCCTGAAGGTAGATCCTTTGTGTCCCCAGTATGCATGTAAGCAATCAGATTTGCGGATATGCTGGTACAGTCACACCTTTAGTCAGCCTGTCAGTCATTCAAATGAAATGTGATACAGTGATGAGGTGGCCTTCTAGAAGTGCCACACAACAATATCCCCCACCACCTCAAGACTGGCACTCCCCAAATGCTAAGGCCACCAACATTTATGTAGGTCGTAGAATGCCAGCTTGTATTCAACAATAAACATCCGCAGGGAAGAGTAGAGGATTGGCTCCCATCGCTTTTAATCAGGTCTTTCATCAATGTCCTTAAAATAAAATCAACCATTTATAGTGTATTCCAGTTTATTTTGAACAAAATATCACATGAACTTGTATGCCACAGGTGTACCAGCAGCAATAACGGATTGCTTTTTATCGGTTGAATAGGCTGCAATACAACTATACAAGAGACACCAAAGTCATAGCGTGATGATGCAGATTAGTACCGCCCCATGCATTTTATCACTCTGACTTCAGCAGGAGCTTTGGCACTAGCACTCTCATCACTCTACATGCTGATCTATTCAAGTAAAACTTTTTTTTACATGTTTCAGTGTATCATTTACAAACCATGAATGTTGTCAGTGGAGACATCTAGTGGTCATATAACATATTGTAGGTGCTCATATACCTAGAACTAGTTATAGCTCATACAATCACATAATTAAAAGATGTATTGGGAGAGTAAAATGTACTCTTCCCAATACTTAGAGCCGGCGTGGGACACTGCAGCTGTCATACCTCAGCTCTATTGATCGAGGACTGAGTAATCACATACTGCTGATAACTCGTCTCAAGGCTTCTCACTGCAGAGAGTAGTGACTGTCAGTCACTGCCTCCTGCAGGGATTCTCCCCTCTCTTTTCCTCCAGCGCTCATTGGAGGGACAGAAAAAGAAAGGAGCAGCGGGCTCAGCTGACACTGCCTCTAAAGCCAGCTGTCAACCAGGCAGTGGGGTGGATCCCAACAATATTGTTAGGCTCTTTACTGGTGCAGTGCGGCTCTGCTCTGCCAGCAAATAGGCAATAGCCCACTAGATGCTGAGTTTTGGGTCACAGGAGGACATTAGTAAATGTACTCATTTGACCCAAAAGATGACTAAAGTAAAAAAAAAAAAAGGTTTGGCTTTAGTTCTTATTTAATACATAAAAGGTTACACTAATCCTAAAATCATTATACTTAAATGTGAAAATTACATACATGAAATTTGCATATATCAGTAATTTAAGATTACATAATACAAAGGCAAATAGAAAATACAATGTTAAACATATAAATCCATACTGTAAACACTGTGAAATTACCAAGAACGCAATTGATATTAAGACCCCTTGGATTAAGCATATCAAGTTGATAAATACAAACGGTCTTATTCCTGGGTATCTCAAAAGTGTGTATGTGTTTATATATATATATATATATATATAATGTGTGTGTGTGTGTGTGTGTGTGTGTTCTTTTCCAACTGATTCCTGAATGGAACGGTGAGCCTTGATTACAACCACCTTGTTCACACTTAGTCTTGAGATAAACTGCAGTGTCTGCATTCTTTTAGTAGATAAGAAGCTGATTGGTTTTGCCATGCATAGCTGTTCCAGATTTTGTCTGCTCCAATTTTGATAAATCCTCCCAGTAATACAGTTCATTGGATTATCGGGAATCTGAATAGTACATAATATATTTCAGGCATTGCAGAGTCTACATATTTGTCTCAGAAGTTTCATTTTACTATCGTCCTTACCCCCCCATCTCTAGGTTTAGTACACATTATTATATAACATTTGTTTTTATGTGTGATTGTCCTTTTAAATCAACAGATGTCTGTTTTTCTTTTAAACTAAAAGTCAAATATTAACAAATGTAATTACGGATGAGACTGTGCATATTCATATCTATGGAAATTACTACATGTATCTTTGTAAGATGAGTAGATAGGCCAAGCAGTGGCAAGTATGCCTTGGTTAATTTGTTCTTATAAAGTAGCTCCTGCAATGGGGAAATTCTAATGATTTTATTTTCAAAGAGCAAAGCACACATTTTGAAATACATTTATGTGAGATGTTTTACTATGAAATTAGAATCTTATCTTGCCACTGTTTTGATCCATGGAAAAAATTACTGATGTTTCTCTTATTTAGATCTGTCTTTGAAGAATCCGAACGCGCTCCAAATGCATAGAAGTCACTTGGCCATGGAGATATTGTGGGTGCAGCAAGCAATAGCCAGTAGAAAAAATGTAAGTCCTGATTGCCATCTTTTATCTTTTTGTCTATGCTATGCCATTTCTGAATGATCAAAGCTAAATTCCAGACAGACTGCTAAATTCCTATATATATCTATAGATATATATATAATGTCAAAAAAGACAAAAATGCAGTATTGCAGTGTGCAATGATACCTTTCTTATTGGACTAACAAAATATATACAAGACAAGCTTTCGAGAGTGAACCTCTCTTCTTCAGGTCAGAAGCAATACTGATCAACATGACAGTTTGTCAGTTAAGACAGGAGAAAGCTGTTGGAGGAGGGGTAATAATAGGGATGCACCAATATATCGGCCGCCGAAACATATCAGCCGAAAGTGCAATTTTCCTGCCGATCGGCGCATCCCTGCTTTCTCTTCTCCCCGCTGGGCGCTGCTCTGTGTCCAGCGGGAAGGAGAGAAAGGGCAGCGTGTAAAGACGCCGAGCGCTGTGAGCGGCCGGCGTCTCTTCTCGCATACGACTCAGCCTCCTATCACAGTCCGGCAGAGCGGTGTGTGGGCGGCGACAGCCAGCGCTGTCACAGGAGGCTGAGCTCTCCTCCTCGCACCGCTCGCTCAGCCGCCTGTGACAGCGTGTCAGAGAGGAGAGCGGGTACAAGCAGTCACTGATCAGTGATCGCTGAGTTTTTGTAAATAATTGAGGATATGGTATGTTAACTATATCCTCAATTATGAATGAATGGGAGGTGAGCTACATCACCTCATGTTCATTCATTCATAGTTGTAGTTATAGTAAACACACAATGTTCTCATGTTATGAATGAACAAGAACGCTCAGAATGGAGGATTCCTGTTCATTGATAACTGGGGATACAGAAAAAGAGATTGAGGATCTGTGTCCCAGATAGCAAGCGATTGAGCTGCAAGTTTGAAAATGACTTGCTAAACTATTGCTAGACTTGCCAAGCCTCACAATTTTGTTGCACAATTACAGCAAGTCTGCATTGCAAGTCTCCAGATCAACGTGCTTTGCAAAGGTGCTGTACACTTGCAGAGCTCTTGTTGTAGACTTGCCAAGCGAATTTGCTACAAATTCAAAAAGTGTCAACTAGAACTTGTGCTGCAAGTGTTCTGCAAGTCTACAACTTGCCAGGAATGTGTGCAGCAAGTTAACAAGAATTACAATTTAACCCTGACACATGTTTGGGGCAAGTTATCCTTTCTATCTGGGGTGTCCTCAATCTCTTTTTCTATTTTAAATGGGAAATATCAGGGGTCTGTTTAGACCCCTAATATTTCCCCAAAGCCCCTAAAAAGTAAATAAAAAAAATAAAAATATTTAATAAAAAATGAATAAATATACAAAAATTAAAACGTTTATAAAAAAATTGGGTTTCGGTTTTAAAATTTCCATTTTGGTGCACCTCCTAATATAAATTAAGAAAAAAAACAAGCTGAGGCACCATTCTTGCAAAAGGTTTGTATTCACAGCCCTTTAAATCCATTGGGTATAGTGGCTCTGAATAGCCTCATGTTCAAGATGAGCAATGGTCCTTGGATCCTAGAAAAGGACATGCAAGCTTTGACCTATAGGTTTGGTTTAATGGTAGCCAAATCTTGTCTTCTTTCCTATTAAGCCAAGTGTTTGGGTGCGGACTGGTCCATTTCTTCTAAAGAGCTTGTGGAAAGTTGAAACTTGCAGAGGTATTGCAGCAGTTAAAGACAGTGTGAAAAGTGTAGACTCCTTGGAAACACTGCTAGCTAGGGAACCTTCTACTTTTTTCCATCTAGCCATTCAAATACAATTCATTTAAAATATATCTTCCAAAAAAGAATTCAACAATTAACCCCTTCATGACCCTTTCATTGTAAATGAACGTCCTCCCAGCATGTTCCCAGTGTCATGGCAGCAGTAAAGTCCTGTGAGCTTCAGCTGCATCCAGCTATGGAGATTGCTTTGATCTCTTTCAGACCACTGCACAGTTCAGCTGGAGACCCTCCCTGATCGATCTGTAACCAATCTGAGTGGTGACAGATCATGTGATCACCATGATTAATGAATCATTGTAATCAAAGGAAAGTTTGTGCCCGACAATAAGGGGAATTTATTAACGCAATTGCGAGTGTTTGAACTCGCATATGGTCGCATGGGATATATTTGACTCGCTTTGCGCCAGATTTATGTTGTTAGGGTTATGTCTGTCCATAAATGAGATTAAATTGATTCCAGGAAAGAAGACTTGTAACTCCAGGCAAGAAGCTTAAGGCTGGGTTCACACCTGGGCGTTTTTCCGCGCTTTCGTACTTGCGGAAAAACGCTCAAACAGGGAAATGCCATTATTTTCAATGTGCATGGTTCCCATCTGGGTGGTTTTCCGCGAGTACCAACGTGCGGGAAACCGCCCTACGCCCAAAGAAGTACATGTATTTCTTTGGGGCGTTTTGGTCGGGCGGTTCCATTGGGATACAGCCAAGTATCCCTCGGAAACGCGCGTTTTTCGCACATTTTTTTTTACCGCGAATCGCGGTAAAAAATCGCGCAAAAAACTTGCATATTTAATCCGCCTAGGTGTGAACCCAGCCTAACTGTCACTTCTTGAAGTTGTCATGGGGACTTCTTAAACTGCGATTGTTTTGTTCGGTGATGCACCAGGTTCAGACAGCCGCAGGACAAGAGCAGATGTAATCGGTTGCGAACTTTCGCAAAACACTCGCAATTGGGAAAATATCGCAAGCTCTGGTCGAAACGGGCGCCCATGTTAAAAGCAGCGGCTAAACAGATTTGCACATACAAAAAGTGATCTAAGAGGCTAAAACATTTGCAGTTGTGTTAATAAATTCCCCTCAATGTGTTTTACATTCTTTGAGTCTCTTATCTAAGCAAGGAAGTAAGAGTTCTGGCTTTTCTTTGATTTCTTTGTCAAAAAGTATTGAAGCCAGAAAATGCCATTTTCAGAATGAGGATAGTAATAGCAACCCCATATTTCTTCACGCTGCCATTTGCTGGGCCATCATGCTGTTCTAGTGAATTCACTGGGGGGAGTTTATCAAAACTGGAGCAGTTGCCCATGGTAACCAATCAGCTTCTTTCTTTAGTTTGTTCAGTTAAGCTTTGAAAATTAAAGAGAGAAGCTGATTGGTTTCCATGGGCAACTGCTTCAGATCTTCCTGCTCCGGTTTGGATAAATTCCCCTCAGTAACTTGAGGCATAAACCAGACACAAACGTTCGTTCTGATCCTGCCTTGGAGGTGCTCGTATAAGCACTTTCTTCATGGTCGCCCTGTCACATACATCCCTGAGGGAGATTACACGTGGCTGTGCTGACAATCAGGGAACCAGTCTAGAACAATGATGTGTAGCTGACAATGGAGTGAGTGTTTATATGGAGGGGGGG